TCCTGAATTATCTATCACTATTTCTGGAGCAATGCATTCCTTGTAAAACTCTCAATTTCCTCCACAAATAAGTCGATAGTGTCCTTGATGTAAAGAATGGAATAACATTTCAATTTTTGGCAGATGTGAAGTTGTCCTTGAATCTGAAATGAAAAGTGAAAAATAACATTTTCAAAAGACTCAAGGAAAATAAGTTTTGCAATCCTACCTGATAATAATAATTGTGATTTCTTTTCAATCTCATTTGGTAACCATATTCTGCTGAACATATTCTACTTTTCATTGCATCTACGACTTTCCCAATTCTTTGTTTTCAGGTCAAATTCAGCAGCTGAGTAAGCACATTTCACTTTTTCAATAGAATCTTCTTCCATGCCAATTCCTTAAGTGAAATTTCATAATTGAAATATGTATCTATATGATTTGATCAATTTTTTACATCTGAAGATTCACCCACAAACCAGAGTGCTCAACCTTCAATTTTTCAAGATTTTCAAAATTTCGAATTGCAATTTTTTCCTTTACTATTCCAACTCCCTAGCTTCTGACCAAATTTGAAAAGCTCTTAGGCATTCTTCCACCATACTGTAACACGGAGTGTATGATCTCCTCTTGATAACATTATCAGATAATGAAGCAGTTAATCGAAGTTTTCGTTTACTCTCAAAAATGGCGTTTTCAAATTGTCCTATTGATTCAATTTGTATCCGATCTCTCTCTGAATCAGAAACCTGAAATTGAAAGGGTAAACCATATAGATAATGAAATATCATAACGACTAAAATGGTTGCAATGAGATTATTTTTGCAACTTTCCCATTTAATATCACCTGTAATCTTTCTTAAATCACATCTACTTTTTTTTCCAACAAAGTTTTGTCAATCAATTGCAGATCATCAGCATGGGGCCCATATTCCTTATTGACGCTCTGCTTCGAGTATGAATTTGTTTTGGTTTTTTTCTTTGGCACATCAGAATCATTACTACATGTTCTAAGTAATCTTCTACGGCATCTCAACCGATGTTGTCGACAATTTTCACTAATGAATTTCATGAAATGTCCACCAGGACTATGCCCCATGAAACTCTCATAAGGGTCAGAGTGCCAGTTGAATTTCTAATTATGACGTGATCCAGACAAATGTACTCGTCTCTGATATGAACCTCTACGAATTAGGTTTAATCTTGCCTTGATTGAACCTGGATACGATATTCATCAATCTTTCAGCACGATTGTTATTTCCTTTTTTTATTATTACATGAGCTTTCCTAACAAGTAGATCCAAAGCATCTGGAATATTGAATGAACAGCTTGGAGAAATTATTGTAAATAGTGTTTTCATTCTTCATACAATAACGTAGTAATTTCCACAAAGTAGGTCATACCTAGGTTACCAAAGATTCACTACTTACCATTCAAGTGATTATAGATTGTACTGGTGTTGTATGTGTACGGTGTTGCATATACCTTCACGGCAATTAGAGTGATCAACATAAACATGATGCAATCCATTCCTCAAATCGGATCGGAGGAGATCAACAATATGGATGGCAATCTTGGCGTGTTCATATATAGACGTTTCAGCTCGTTTTGTCAGAGCTTCGCTTTTCAAATTTGTAAAAAATTTGCGTCCTTTATGATAAACAATTTTTTTTTATCTCCTTTAATGGTTTTGAGGCATTTACTATAATTTTCAACAACCATATCCGCCTCCATTGCTGATGGAGATCCGGACCAATTTTTTTAGCATACATGTTCCTTCACAGATTTTCCGGCATTTTCAGATCTGGCACAGATCGTGCAATATTTGTTCCGTAAGCCCACAAAGAGCAGTTCTCCAGTATGTTTCCCAATTATTCCAATCATACCGGACAGTGAATTGAAATTAGTACCGTGAGAACGTTTACTCCAAGAGTCATTAACGTAAACTGTAATCCAAGGAGTACCATCCGAACAAATTTGTTCATTTTCTACTGCCCTTTTCTTTTCTATTTCACCAGCGGATTTCATGGATCGTAATAATGATGCTTCATATTCCTTAAATATTGATAATCAAAACTAAATCACATGATATGTAGGGTTGTATGGGTTCACCTTACCCAGTTCATTTTCCATGCCATGAAATATTCTTTAAGATATTGTTGGCACATTTAGCGAACTGAGGAGTTCGCTCATATGGGCATAAGTACTTCCTGAAGCCAATGTCATCACAGATTTTTGTCGTTTGGGATTCTCTGTTTTGAAACTCATAGTACTATTGCAAGCGTTGCATTTGAAAATATTTGTACCAGCTAACCCATCTCGAATTTCACCATTTACAGATGGAATTCTCATTGTGCAAATTTTGGAATGGTTATGTTGAAGTCTAATCGCCAAGTCTACTTTTTCTACTTCGTGGTTGATTTCATGTGCCATTATTCTGAAAATCCTCTTAATCATACAAAACCCTCAAGTAGGTTCTGTCGAAAGCCAGATTGATGTTCAGGTAGGATACCGTTAGCAATTACATATTCATTAATTTGATCATGTGCAACTTTCTCAACTATTCTTGATATGGCTGGTAAAATGTTAATTGGTCTCAGATCATTCAATGTTGATGGCTTGGGAATTTCATTGATTGGAAATATAAAAGCATTTTTCCAGATTTCTGAAAAGGTGCCTTCGCTCAGACATAAATTAACAATATAAGATAGAATCGGTGTTAAAATAGGAATACAAATTTTTATCAATTAAATAGACATCTGATCAGTGCCAGTTATGTTTGATTTTATTTTACTAACAATACGTTCTAAATCACTATAAATCTAAATTTTCATTTTCATGGAGAAATTCGAAATTATAATGATTCAGAGTTGAGATTGGTGGTTGAGAGCTCAACTGATTGACAGAATCAAAGAAGTTATTATTTATTTCATTCGGATCACTTCGATTTCCTGGAATTGTGCCTTTATTTTTTTTGTAACAACATCTAATAAATTCAATGTGTTTCATAATTTTTCCTGTTTTGCTGGTTTTGCACGAAAGTCAAAGATCCTCTTTTTTTGTTTCTTATAGCAGTAGTTGTATCGTTCCTTATATTTTTATAATAATTTCAGTCCTCTTTTTTTTATTTCTTATTTTTGTAGAAGCACAATTTTCATTTTTTATTATCATCTTGAGATTGTCTGTTAACCATAGAGCTTTTTGTTTGCTCTTACTTTTACTGTTTTAACCGGTGCATGAACGTCGAAAACAGTAAGTAAATAGGTATTGAACAAAATTCACATCATTCGTGAGATTAATATCAAACCATGGCATCATCTCCAGGTCTTGGAAAAATCTTCATAATTGGAATTTTTTCAGTCTCTATATGTCCTGAAATGTTGTTGAGGTTGTTCTTTCATATTCGAGTTGAAAATATACTAAAGAATGATCTGAAATCGAATCTGCATTGAGTGTTTCAACTAACAAAGCTTCATTGCTTGTATCAATGATATCAATTAACTTGCTAGTTTTTTCCGTAACCCTGGTTGGCTCATTGTTGACAATTGACAAACCGAATGCGTCAAATAAATCCAAGAGTTGAATTGTGTTATTATTACATGAATTGATGATTTTCACATTGTTGTCACCTGCTAGAATAAGATCATCAACAGTTGGAAATACTTGAGAAATACTATTTTCTAGACTAGAAATAAAATCTGAAATTCTTGTATGCGGTGGTTTATAGACTCCTCCGAGTCCCACACGTTCATTATCCATTTTCAAAATGACCCAGAGCTGCTCAGAATGACTATCATCTGAAGCATGGTTTCTAAAGCTATATAGGCCTTATAGTAAATAACAATACCTCCACCTCTGCTGGGGCGGTCCTTCCTTACCAGGTCGTAACCTTTAATTTGAAATATATCGTTTCGTTCATCATAGCCATCAGTTTCATCCAATACATTTGTTAACCATGATTCTGTAATCACAACAACATCAAGATCATTATTCAAAACTATTTCTTTCAAACAGTGAAATCCCGTGAACAGCGATCTAACATTAAGTGTGGCAACTCTGAACTGCATACTCATACCATTAAAGGTGATGTTCTCCTCCTATTAGTATATAGTACAATCATATATTCCTTCAAGGGTATTATAATCGATTAATTATGATGCCTGTTAGCATTAAAATCAGGTTATTGAAAATCTAAAGTTTTCTCAAGTGTCCCTATGAAAAAAAAAACAAGAAAAAAGTCTGCTCAAGCATAACCTTGACCAACCAAACTCATCCAAGTTGAAGTATTACCTATATCAAATCAACTAGATATAATTGGACTCAAAGGAAATACCAAAATCCTCACGGAACTAAGAGTCAAAAGTAAATACAAAACAAAGATAACCGAAATGTCGATTACGCATAAGATTGTATCATTATTGTAACAATATCTAACTGATGTAGAATAATTCTAACAGTACTTTATTCATACATGAATCATTTATAACAAATATGTTGATACTATCATGTCGTCATCACTACACAATACCACGTCAATACAATATGTAATATATCGAGGGTCATAATAATCTCCTACACCTACAATTATCCCATATTATATAACACTGACCAACACAATGATACAGAATACATTATTCCTTTCACTTTTGGAGAAGGAAAACTCCTAAACTCAAAGTATAGTTCAAAAATAATCTGCATGATCGTTCAAAAAAAAAAGAAGACAGATAAAACAAAGAAGATTTCGATTGCATTTGCAAAGATATTTGTGCATAGCCTTCATTCATCCTATTTAGGACTTTTCTTCATTATTATCTATCTCCTGCATACGTTTCTGAAGTTCCATTGTTGGTTTGGAAACTCTATTGTTGACTATAACTCTTATTTTGCCATCCATGGACCAGACATTTCGTTGGCCAAATTTCCTTGCTAAAGTAGTGATGGCATTGTGACGAAATGGTGTGAGATCCTCTTTGACGGAAAGTTTTGAACCTTTTAGAGCTACCTTAGTATTACAAATTTATCGTTTCGCTCCATATGACTTGAGTTTAACCAGGACTACATTGTTCGATATACTATACTCGTGCTCGATATCTTGTTGTGTGGAGTGTTTGATTTTCATTTTGGTTTTGAAGAAATCAATAACTGCTTCGAGTACATTTTCTTGACTTTGAGCCTCAATACCATATATTCTTAGAGAACACCTTCGAGTATATTGCTCGAGAGCATCCATACGTAGATCAATTTGTTGAATTCGATGAGTATTTTCGGAAACTTGTCTCTGGAATCCTCCTAGGCTTTCATGGAAATCATCAAATTTAACCTCCAGATTAGCAGCGACATTTAATGAAACTTGCTGAATTATTTGTTCGATTGTGGTATCGTTCGATGTATCAGTTTTTTGCGAGCGCAGAGTGCGATCTTCTACAGTTGTAGTTTGCGATAAAACTTGCGTACTCAGCCGCGGCATTGTTGACTGCTCCGCTACCACGGAACAACTACTGCTAGCTGCTAGGCAGAGAATACTGATGGTGCTTGGCTTTGAAACTGGTTTATTGTTTATTTGTATCGATCGATCGATCGATTGCTCAGTCGCTGCGTTGTAGATACAATTTGGTGCGCAGGAACCTTGCGTTATTTAATGTTTGATTAACGATACCGATACTAGTTATCAAAAATTATAACTTATTTCCCCTTCAAATGTCAGTCCATAGGGTGAACACAGTATTGATACACTTTTCACTTCCTAAACATTCTAGGAAACCCGAGAAGTTGATTAGTTTTCAGGAGGAACACAGCACACGTCTACTCAGTCGCCGCCATCTTGAACTGAATCTACTCTGAATTTTGGAAGGGTCAACAAACCTTTGTTTCTAACATTGAAATTATGTACATCAGGTCGGTGAGTAATTTTTCCATCCAGGTATGGAGGTGTATTATTTTCGACCAGTTTGTGAAAGAGTATTGCTACATAGAGTATGTAATTTATATGAAATTCTTTCCCTTCTCTTTATGCCATAAATGAGTAGAAAACGAGAGTTTTGAACATTCTGTATATTTTTTTTATATCGTCTGGTTAAACAAGGACCGTATAATACATCTGAATAATTGAATATAGATAGTACAAGGGTTTCTTCATTTTCAATGGAAAAAACTGCCTTCGACCAAACATGGTTCGTACCATGAGATATGCACGTTGTATTAATTCAGTTACATGCCTCTCGAATCTCAAATCTACGTCCAATGTAACACCCAAACTGTTTGCTTCTTCAACGGAATTGAGATGTTCATTATTCAAAATGATTCTGTCTGAATTGAATACTGCCGCACGAATAATTTTTGGACCAAACACAATCGCATTCGATTCACTATTATTGATTATGAGGCCATGATTTGATGCTGCTTTGATAAAAGCAGCAAGATCTTCATTTAATTGGGTACAAGCAGTGTCCAAGGTTTGCGGAGTAAAGCTGTGATAAATTTGGGTATCATCGGCATATAGATGGATTCTACAATGCTGAAAGCTATTCATCAAATTGGCTGTGTATATAGCAAATAACAACGGTCCTAAAATAGATCCTTGAGGAACACCAGAGCTAAGATTAAGATATTGGGATTCAACTCCATCTGAATTTACCTTTTGTGTTCGATTTTTCAAAAAGGATTCGATAAGAGTAACAGCATCTTCGGAGAGACCTATATATTGCAAAATATTCAATAGCAAATTGTAATTAATCGTATCGAATGCTCGACTGAAATCCAAAAGTATCAAAACTGTACAATTACCTTGATCCGTTGCTCTGAGAATGTCATCCACAACGTGTAAAAGGGCAGTTGTGCAACTATAACCCCTGCGAAATCCAGATTGTATTGTTGGCAATGAAAAGAAGTTTTCAAGATGCTCTTGCAGCTGAATTTCTATGTTCTAGGTAAGACACTAATAGGGCGAAGATCTTTATATTCACTGGGATTTGATTGGCAGGACTGTTCCGTCTTCCTCAATTTTCTGTTTTTCTTTGTATTTGTCTAATCATTATCAAATTTGTTTTTCATTTCACCTTCACCTTCACATTAAATTTATAAGTATCGCGAGACCGGCTGTGTTTCATATTCTTCAAAATATATGGAGCGTACCCCGTTTAGTAGGAATTATATTTTATCCGCTGAAAATTGTATCGAAGATATTCGCTCGAAAGACTCGCTCGATAAAACGTCTCGACTAGACAACAAGATTTCTTGTGATAGCTGGCCAGCTCGGAAAGTGACAAGTTTTGCTGTAATCTGAGCAGTTTCCAAACTTCAACCTGTGAAGCCGCCTACTCTATCCTCTGGGACCCAAGGTATGAAATCACAGCCTCGTTTTCTTTGAAGTTCTTATACAGTTAGCTCTACCAGAAGGTCTAATAACATTGCGATTATCAACAATTTATAAATACCGACCTACCTATACAGTCCACTTTATCATTGATCTACAGATGTCGTGGGATTGTTTATTCAAAAAGTTATTCGCCTTCATAGTTTTCCACATTTCTTTCGAATTATTTTGACCGAATATATGAATGAGGTAGGCTCGTTTTTCTCTTTTAATAGACTGGTTTGTATAGTTGCGTACATCTTCATAGAATTCCAGATGAACATCTGATCGTGTTGTTTTATACCGCTTCAAAGCCTTATATCTTATCGACATCTTTTGTCTCAGAACATCTGTCAGCTACGGTGTTCTTTTTTTAGTAACCCTCGAAGTAGTAATCGGTGCATGTCTATCAAATAAGTTAACTATACAATTCACCAAAAAGATATTTTTTCGTCTGCATTCTCAAAATCATATATTCTGAAAAAAAGAGTTAGATATAGATCTCTCTTGAATTCTTCTTCACTGAAATATTTGAAATTTCTGTATTTACATAGTTTTGATCCCTGCTCTCTACCAAACAATCGTAGTCTACAATACACAAGTAAATGATCAGAAATATCTCCAATATCCACAACACCACTCTCCACTACATCTTCTTCAGCAGTTATGATAACATCTAAAAGGGTTTCAGTATTATCTGTTATTCGCGTAGGAGTATCTATTATTAGGTTGATGTTGAAGGATTTGAGGATTGATGAAAGTTTGTTGACGTATGTATTTTCATAATCTAACAAATTTATATTTAAGTTCCCTGTACATACAATACTGTCTACGACTGAGTATATTGAGCTCAATGTATCCTCGAATTCTTTCAGGAACGTATTAACATCTCCAGAAGGAGGACGATACATTACTCCTATAGCTAATAATTTTTATTCGTTCTAATTTTCATCCATAATTGCTCGCAATGCTGAGCAGGATGATTGAGTATCTCACAACGAATTTCATTACGAATATAGATACACAATCCTCCTCCTCTGGAATTCCGATCCACCCTGTATAGATTATACCCACCAATACTAATTTTGATGATCTTCACTGTCACGCCTCAGCCATGATTCACAAATCAAAAAATGTCAAACTCTCGCTCTGAAATACTGGATTTCATTTCTTGTAAAGAAGGTAACAGGTAAAAATCCGCTGTCATTAATGAGATAATTCATTTTATCTATTTATATTTTGTTCGAATAGGTATACAGTTGGTAATGAGTGAATGAACAGGAACACCTGACTCCAAAAAAAAAAGTAATCTCTACGTACAAAAATAAAGTAAGAATTTATCAGTTGAATATGACTCAACTGCACGAAGTGCAACAGACTTTGGGTGATCATTAAATTTTTCATGCGAAATATCATAATCAAAAAGTTTATACATCAAGTGGATATAAAATAAAATAAAAATAATAATTATATGTGGAAAAATCGACGAATACAGTTTCACAATTGATTCAGCTGTTCTGACTCGAAATCTTGCGTATATTATCATTTCCATTGACTTTAACAAATGTTATACCAAAATTTGTCCATGCGCTACCATCTGCTCCAAGTTTTGAAATGGACGCTTTCAATGTCTTGAACTGTCCAGTTGTCAGATCTTCTCTTATTACAAGACCAGTGTTCTTCAGTAGCTCATTATTACCATAAACCTTGTTCTTCTGGTACCTAGTTTAACAAGTATAGGTCTAGATTTTGTTCTGTCAACTTCCCAACCCGATAGCAAGTCTCTATATCCGATATATTGATTTCAAGATTCATTTTACCTCTGAACATTTCCAAAACACTCTGCTATTACTCTCTTTCATTCCATAAATTCTTATATTACGACGACTGTTCATGTATTTCATGTTTATTAACGATAGATGATATTATTCCTGCTTGGCTATTTAATTTTTCCATCAAATTCTTATTCTCCTGTTTCAATAAATCTATTTCTTCACTGAATTTTTCACTGATGATGAACATAATTTAGTGACCAACATTTTAACTGTTTCCTGCAGTCTTCCCTTCTTGAGGAGGCTTATTGAAATAATATGTAGGTGTAGTTATTATTATTAAGTTCTTCTTACCGGAGTTTCTATTGCAAATATCAGTATGTCCCACAAGAATAATAAACAAACTATTGTTTCCTCTAGGAAATGTTGAATTTACATGAGTTCTCACAGTTTTGAAATATGTAGTGGTAGCACGTCGACACTATACGTCTACTCCATCGGACACACAAACAGCGAATCACTATCCGATATTTATAAATATCTCTCAGATGAACATTTGAATGGTGTACCCAGGAAGAAAAATAATTTGCATTTGAGAGGAGTCGAGAAAGTAAATGAATAATGTACTTTCAATAACACTATGATTTTACTGTCGTAATTATTTAATTAAAAATTTGAAAAAAATTATTTTGGAACATATTTCTGGTTGTCAAGAAGAAATTGTGAATTCTCTTCCCGAAAGAGAAATGTCTTTTGAAAATGAATTCAGCAAGGTAGCCTATAATGTGGTCCTTCTTCCTCCCATACGGAGATATACGAGACCTCACTTCCCTCCACGTTCTTTCAATATTTTGGGTATGTGCACCTGAAATTTTGATTTCGAATACTCATTCACAGGAAAATATTCCAATAAACAAACCTGTTTCAGGATCTACAAAATTGATAGTGGGATTCACAGTGAGGTGCTCAAACCCTTCTTGATTCATATTGGAGTAGACCCTTCAACAATCTGAGAGTCGTGCCTGGCCTAACCCACTGGCGAATGAGGCCGATCAGTGTGTCGGCCGTCCTGTCAGGTACTGGTACCAAGAAAATGTTGTTGGAACCTCTCCGATCCCCCCAAGAATCCAGTGACCCTCGATAATGCGCCCCCTATTGTATTATCTTTTCCCAAATTTGGCCTCATCAATTTCCACCCCTTTCTCAATTCCGTCAAGCAAAGTTGAATTGATTATGCACCACTCAATGCAAACATGATGCAAACCTACAAATAATATATGTCGGATATCATGGATATACTTATCATGGCCTGATGTTTTGCAGATATTCACCTCCCTACAAAAGTTGCTCTAGTCTACCACACTGTGTTCTATGATCTGTAATTCTTGCGTGAGGAATTCGTGACGAGGTTGCGGTAATAACATGGAATATCCGACAAACAAAGCCGTTTGCTCCAGTCCCAAACGTCCCTCGAAAATAGTGCGCAGTCTTGCGCTTCTGCT